CCCCCCCCCCCCCCTTTTTTTTTTTTTTTTTTTTTTTTTTGCAGGCGTCTATGAAAAAAGCAGAGAGCAGATGATCAAGAAGACCTGTGAGGCGGTGGTTTTGGGCAACCTGCATCCCCGTTCTTCTGTTATGGTGGTTCTTCAGGTGATTGCAGATGCTGGATCTGTATCCTTTTTAGAAAGAGGCTGACTTCAATACAGCTGGAGGGCAGCAGCTTGAGGTGTGTGTGTGTGTGTGCATGTGTGTGTGTGCGTGTCTTAACCGCAATACAGAATTCTGAAGAACAGCCTGTCTTTCTGTGTTTTTCCCCAAAACTTCTGAACAGACTACAGTTATTAGCCCCGCTAAATCAGATCAAATCAAACATTGCGAGAAATGAATCTACGTTTCGCCTGCCCTTCTCTTCAGCCTGGGTGGGGAGGGGGTTAGCTTTTAAGATACTTTGGACTACTGTGTCCATCACCCCCAGCCAGCCCTAGGATCTACGGGCCTTAGAGAAGGGATGCTGCCGCTTGCCTGATTCCAAGCCCCCCGGTGTGATTTGAATCAATTAGCCAAACGAACACGGAGATCCTGACCTGAACCGAGCTGTTAAAAAAGGCAATAAAAAGAATACAGCGAGCGAGAACACATGCTAGCTTGCCCTGTCTTTAACCTGGTTTCACCTCTGCCAGGCTCCTGCTGGCATGATGGCTTGTGAGAGTCGGAAAGCCTTCGGATTAGGCTCGCCTCCTTTATTTGTTGTGTGTGTGTCCCCCTCTCCCCCCCTTCTCTCTTCTACTTCCAAAGAGCTGAAACGGCTTGGCAGAGCAGAGGGCGGCAGAGGGCAGCAGCGGCCGTGAAAACCCGGACCCCCTTTTTTTAAGCTATGCCAGTCAATCCCCAGGAAGCTACTTATCTGCAGCCCGCAGAGGGCACTCAACCGTTTGCAGAGCGGGAGGCCTTGAGAGTGAAGAGAGAGGGGCCTGGTTCCCGCTCTCGGCTTGCAAGCGTTTTTTGCATGTTCAGTCGACTGCCTGCTGAGCAACTTGGGGATGGGTCTGTGGAAATGCGTGATAATCGTAAGGATGAGGACCGGACCGAAGTCACTTTTCTCAGCGCCGTTGTAAGTTTGGTCGCTAGAAGGACGGTCATAAGTGGAGGACTACCCTGTATTGAGAAAAATGTTATTAAAATATATGTGGCCCCCCGGATTCCTAGCAATTCTGGGTAGCTGCCCACGGCTCTGAATTGCAGATCTGGCTAGTTTTCCTGCTGCTGTCCACCACCAGCCTCTCTCTCCCTCCCGCCCTCTCCTCTTTCTTTCTCCCTCTGTCGCTCCCTCCCGTTTTCCCTCTTCCTCTCCCTCTGTCTCCCTCTCCCTTTCTCCCTCTCTCTCCCTGTCGCTCCCTCCAGTTTTCCCTCTTCCTCTCTCTCCCTCTTCCTTTCTCCCTCTCTCTCCCTGTCGCTCCCTCCCGTTTTCCCGCTTCCTCTCCCTCTGTCTCCCTCTCCCTTTCTCCCTCTCTCTGTTGCTCCCTCCCGTTTTCCCTCTCCTCTCTCTCCCCCTCTTCCTCTCTCTCTGTCTCCCTCTCCCTTTCTCCCTCTCCCTGTCTCCCCTCTCTCCCTGTCGCTCCCTCCCCTTTTCCCTCTCTCTCCCCCTCTCCCTCTCTCTCCTGCTCTTCCTCTCTCCCTCTCCCTTCCCTTTCTCCCACTGTCTCCTCCTCAATCTCTCCCTCCTTTTTTACCTCTCCCTCTGTTTCATCCTCTCCCTCTGTCTCTCCCTCCCTTTTCCCCTCTCCCTCTCCCCATCTCTTCCTCTTCCTTCCTCTCTGCCTCTTTCTCTCTGCCCCCTTCCTCTCTCCTCTCTCCCTTTGTCCCTCCCTTTTTCCCTCTCCTCTCTCCCTTTCTCTCCCCCTTTCCCTCTCCCTCCTCTCTTCCCCCTTTCTCTCTCTCTCCCTGTCTCTCCCTCCCTCTGTCTCTTCCTTGTTCCTTCTCCCTCCCTCTCCCCCCTTCTCTCTTTCTCCCTCTCTCTCTGTCCCTCTCCTCTCTTTCCCTCTCTTGGTTTGTTCTTATTTTCCTTGAATCAAATCTCTGCCCGTAAAGCTGCTCTCCAGCTGTTTGAACGCCGCCTGCGTGGGACTGGTGGATGCCGGGCTGCCAATGAGCTCCTTGTTCTGCGGAGTGACCTGCGCCTTGGACGCCGGTGGCAATATCCTCCTGGACCCCACGGCGAAGCAAGAAAAGGTGGGCTCCTTCTTCATTCCAGGCAGGATAAATGCTGTTGCACTTTTGGTGGCAGGGAGTAGCAAAGGCCCCACCGGGCACTGGGGAGGAGCAGGCAGGAGACAACATGAGCAAAGATTGGGTAAAGTTTCTGCTTATATCACTAACGGAACAGCCAAAGCATTGTTTCTCGACTTCTGCAACTTTTAAGATGAGTGGACTTCAACTCCCAGAATTCCCCACTGGCTGAGGAATTCTGGGAGTTGAAGTCCACTCATCTTAAAAGTTGCAGAAGTCGAGAAACATTGAGCCAAAGGACTCGCCTGCCTGGATTCTTGGCAACATCAGCCCCCTCCTGAAGGCTGGAAGTCTGATCCCAGGCTGGCTGGGGAGGATAGGAATTGTAGTTCAACCCTCTGGCAACATAGGCCAGATCTGACCTCCAGCCCTGCCGGAGGCATCACTATGCAACACGGGCCTTCCAATGTCCAGATTCAACCTGGTGTGGCTGCCAGGGAGGGAACCCTTGGCTTTGGGGCACCTGGCCGGTAAATCGTGTCTGTGACGATGCCAAGTCCAGTCAAAGAGCTTCAGCGGGTAATTGGCTTCTTCAGACTTGGCAGCCCTAAAAGCCCGTTCTTCTGGACCCCAAAATCCTTAAGCCTTTCTGAATGGTTTTGCTGGTTTTTTTGTCAGTGGCTGGCTTCTCTCCATCACCAGCCTCTCT